AAGTGTTTCAGATCAAGAAATTGTATCAACATTCATCTCTGTATCCCTCTCCAAACCAAGAATAGAGAGGACCTTATTAATAGCAGGCTCTCTTTCTCCACCTCTATCACCTGCCTGTCTATTCTTTCCATCTTTCTATTATCTATCTATCTATCTATCAGCTTGAAGGAAGAACATGGAAAATAATTATATGTAAAATTCCTTTGTGGACTAAGTACATGAAAATGCAAGCTGTAATGGTTATAATGTCCTTAAACACTGAATGTAGAATTGAAAATTTTATATGATTTAGAATTTCTTTTTTAATTTCAGAGCTATTTCTTTTTTTGTTTTGTTTTGTTAATCCTCACTCGAGGGCACTTTTCCATTGATTTTTAGGGAGAGTGGAAGAGAAAGGGAAAGACAGAGAGAAACACATCAATGGTTGTCTCTTGCATGAGCCCTGACTGGGGCCTGGGCCGGGGAGAAGCCTGCAACCAAAGTTCGTACCCTTGACTGGAATCGAACTCTGGACCCTTTAGTCCACAGGCTGACGCTCTATCCACTGAGCCAAACCAGCTAGGGCCAGAAATATTTCTTTTCTTTTTTTAAAAACATATTTTATTGATTTTTTACAGAGAGGAAGGGAGAGGGATAGAGAATTAGAAACATCGATGAGAGAGAAACATCGATCAGCTGCCTCCTGCACACTCGCCACTGGGTATGTGCCCGCAACTAAGGTACATGCCCTTGACCGGAATTGAACCTGGGATCCTTCAGTCCGCAGGCAGACGCTCTATCCGCTGAGCCAAACCGGTCAGGGTCAGAAATATTTCTTTATAGTTGGCAGGATTCCAGTTAGAATCTGGATCTGTTGGGCTAGGAAGGAGTCACATGATTTATGGTCTTATTTCTTTTTTGTTTTTTTATGGTCTTATTTCTAAGACCTGGTATGTGATTTCTGTCTCCTGATTGAAAATATGTTTTCTTCTCTGCCTGCAGACATGAAGATATCTTATCCATCCTCACTGCTGTCAATAATGATGTCAGTCAACGAGGTGAAACAGAGAAACAGATCCCTCAACCTTCTTACACACTACGTAAAAAAGTCATATTCCCTGTGCCCCTGCAAGAACTTCCAGAGAGAGTTTCCACTGACTCTTAGATTTGAAAGGAACCTTGTCTTCCAACTTCCCACCAAGCATAGGAATCAGTGACAGATGGAGAACTGGCCTTCATCTGTCATTCTAGCAATAAGAAATGTTCTACAGTGGGGTCTTGACTTACGAGTTTAATTCGTTCCGTGATGGAGCTCGTAACTCAAATTACTCGTATGTCAAATCAACAGTGAACGAGTAAGACACGTGATGCTGGGCTGATGTGGTGTTCACTGTGACGTTCGCTGTGCCAACTAGCGGTGGGGTATCTGAAGCTGGCTCGTAACCCGAATTTTAGCTCGCAACTCAAAGCAAAAAATCGGCCGAGAGATGGCTTGTTTCTCGAAAAACTCGTTAGTCGGGACACTCGTAAGTCAAGGCCCCACAGTATTTGGATTAAAATCTTGGCTTTTGCTCTGCACCCTGAGAAAAAAGCAATTGGCTTTGGTTTGTGTAGCTGTGAAGGAAAAGGTGGAACGAGGGACATTTTAAGGTTCCCTTTCGCTCTAGGAACCAATGTCCTTAGATTTCCCCTTCCTTGACCACTCCTTGTTATAAGGGACCTCTCCTGTGTCCCCTCCCATGGCCCTGCTTTGGACATTGACCAATGATGAGATCACAAGATCATGGTTTCCAGCCCTCCCTCTGCTCTTGCCTTCCCAAAGCTTTCCTTCTGCACAGCTCCTGAGGGGAACCTTTGGTTTACAGCCACGCCCGCCTCCTGCTTCCGTGTTCAGGAAGGTGTTGCTGCAGGAACTGGGCTGGCTCTAGGAAATGACAGCTGAGTGTACACGAGACACACACTCAGCTACTCCGCGAGCAGAAACTTTACAACCTGATGCTACTTCCCTGTCGCTCGGAACCTTGCAGAGGCTGGTGACAGAACACTCAACGCAGACCGAGGAAAGCAAAGGACTTATTGCCTCTGCCACTTGAACACGTGATGCATGGTGATGACTTCCGGGGAGGCCTGAGTCGGGACTCTGGGGTACAGGGTGTGTCTCCCGGCTGGGGCGTGGGGCGGTTGGGGGTTGGGGTGCCCTCAGGGTTGGCAGCTGCACTAACATGCTTGGCTCTTCCAGCCAAGGGAAGTGGAGAGGAGCAGCTTGGGGGACCCACGCTGTTCACAGGGACTGTTGCCCCTTCTATGCCAGAGAGGTGTCTGCCTGTGGAGAGCTACGCCTGTGGATAGGTGGCTCTGTATGGAAGCCTTGATGCTTCTAAAATTAAGGTTTTGAACATTTTTATGTATGTGAACTCTGTTTTCAATTTCAAGAGGAATTTCTCTTTTTTAATTCTTGGAAAGAGGGAGATGGAAAGTACTGCGGTTAAGATCTTCATTTATAGATGAGGAAGCTGCCATCCCAGGGGGCAGGGCAACGTGCTGCAGACTTCCAGCCGGCTATTGTTTACGTGATTCATTTCCCATGGAAGTGAGCTGAGCAGTCGTGGGACATAGCGGGGCTTTATGAATGGCCCCTTGGATATGCAGAGGCTCATGAAAGACGCGGGGGAATGAAGAACATTCTCAATGCTGTCTGATTTTATAGTCAAATTCATTGATGGTGAACTTTCTAGGAGAAATGGTCATGAGAACCTTGTTAATGTAGCTAGTAATCACATGGATTTGAATGTAACTTGGCAAAGGAACCCATATGTCAGGATGGTCTTCTAAAACTGTGGTTCATACATGTCAGAGGAACAGTTGGTGGTTACAGTCTTTGTTCAGTTGCATATGCACAGCTGTTGGCCACTTACCAGTCCTCCTCTACAAGGGAAGCATGGTGTGGCACAGAGCAGAGCAGAGAGTTGGGGATAGAAGCTTTGGGTTTGTGATGCCCTGTGACGCCCTTGCTCTAGGACACTAACTCAAGCTAGTTTTTTTGAGCCTTATCTATAAAGTAAAGAAAATATTATCTGTTGGGAGGATTAAGGAATATATATGTATATGTATATGTATATGTATATGTATATGTACACACACATACATACAGGGTGGGGTATGAGTAGGTTGACAATTGTAAATCTTTTGCCCCATCCTA